CGCGGGGCTCGCTCACCTCGTCCTGCAGGAGGGCCCTGCTGCACTCCAGGTGGTGCCTCTCCAGGATGGAAGACCCGTGGAGCTTTGCCAGCGGGGACGCGGATCTAGAAGGAAAGGGCAGGCCGCGGTTTTACCTGTTTAAAGATTATGCGCATGTCCATCCTATACAGTCTTTACTCTCTGAGGATTTTGTAATTTATTCTCTCTCCTCTCCTGATGCCCATGAAATGGTCCACGGTTACATATTGAAAAAGTTTTTAGATTTAGGAGATGAGAATATGCTCTTTAAAAAACAACACCACCTAATTTGTTGAATGCATAAAACCACTGAACCACTGAAACTCGGATGTTTGGTTCGGCCCCTGCGTCTAAAATCTTTCTCTCTGGAGTTTATGGTGGTAGGATATGACTTATGGAGCATGTAGCCAACCTGCTGAAGCCCGTAGCTCATTTGTAGAGAAAGTGTTCATTAGGAATAAAGTATTCTTATAAACAAAGCATAGGGGGTGTGGTCAATAACATTGTAGTACTATGTATGGTGTCAGGTGGGTACTAGACTTATCAGGGTGACCACTTTGTAAGTTATATAAATGTCCAATCACTATGCTTTACACCTGAAAGTATTATAATATTGTATGTCAACTGGAAATGAAAAATATTTTTTAAATTTTTAAGAGAGAGGAAAGAAAAGCATTTCCAGGAACCAAAATGAAAATCACTATAAAGCAACACTTCTTTCCTCCACCAAGACAGTGAGATACGTTTAAACAAGTTTCCTGTTTCTTAATGTTTGGGTCACAGCTTTATACCCTGTCTTTCTTCAGTTCTTCCTGTTGGAAGAAGGGGAAGTGACATCAAAAATAAAAAGGTGGAAAAAAGAAAAGATGGAGAGAGGCTGAGGCCAAAGGTCTACCCTGATAATGTGGAAACGTTGTGATGGAAATATGGAATAAATAATTTTAAGAAAGGAAGACATCAGTGATACGGTTGGCAGCCTTAGAGAAGTTTCATTTTGTTTCAGAAAGAACAACACTTTAGGGAGGAGAGGAGCCCTTAACAGGTCTGGTAAACCAAATACTCTAGTCAGGGATCAGAACTTGAACCCATATCCAAATGCCCACTCTGTCAGCACTGGAGATTTTTAAAAAATGAATAAAGCTCAATTCCAGTGGAAAAGAGTGATATCTTTAATTTTTTTGTGTTTAAAAACATCAGTCAAGAAAGGTTACAGGGGAGCTAAATATTCACCCAGTATCAAAGTAACATCTCACAGATTATTTATTAATACAAAGGAGAAAATGTACCTTTGCATAAATAGATCAGCTAGACATTATTCATAAACAGTTTAACTTAACCTCACTGATAATGGGGCAAATGACCATCCCAGGTCTCTTGGTGCTAGGCAAGGACAAGTGCACAAGGTCTACATAGAATTCCTATCAAAACCTTTCCCTGAATCTAGTAACCTGGAAACAATCAGACAAAGGCAAATTGAGGTGCATTCTGCAAAACAACTGGCCTAGACTCGTCAAAAACATCAATATCCTGAAAGACACAACAAGGCTGAGGAATGATTCCAGATTACAGGAGATTAAAGATATTGACAACTAAACCTGGTCACACGGTAATTTTCATGTATTCTCCCCTTAGACACCTTCGGACGTCACAAGTACACGTCAACATTCCACACGTGTTCACTTACTTCATCTGATAGAGATTATTGGTGCCTCTGTGGTCAATGTCGTGGCAGAAAGCAGCAGCGAGCATGGCAAAGGCTTCGAGATCTGTATAGTATTTCTTTAGCCTTCCTGTCTAAAAAATATAT